AGAGCAGCCGGTGGTTTCCCGCTCGCTGAAGCAAGCCGGCTGTGAGTGACGAAATGATAGAATCACGTGTTCCAAGTCTGTTTTTTTTTTTTTAGGATTCTATCATTGAAGGCACGATTTTATTTATTTATTTATTTTTTGCATATGACAGTGAGACCGAACTTCGTTCCAAATGTTGTGTCTAGAAGGTCGATTGTTATATGCATTGTTTGTTTTACTATGTGACTCTTTCTTTCCCTCTTTTTTTTTTTTTTTTTTTGATGTCTGTGATCTTTATTGTTGTGACTTTAACTGTGACTCCTGGTTTTAACTATATATTACCTGTATATATATATATATTGATATATTATTTATTGTTATTATCCATTTACATATATATTTTCCTTTTATTGTGAGTATGCTTTAATGAGAATATGAGCTATCATTATTGGATGTGCTTGAATGTATCTATAAAACATATCAGAATCCCATCGACCTATTTTTTGTATCATAATAGGTTGAACCCCATGCATTACCAGTTCTGTTGTCCCACCTGCTCTGAAGCTGTGCCCAGCAATGTTGGAGTTAGGTAGGATCGATCTGAGTTTGTTACTAAACCATTTCTTGGTAGACCAGGATCCATTAGCTCTTATGAACATTGGTTCCCTCCCTGGTGCAAATAAAGTATCAGTGCGTCGAATAACATATGCTTTTAGTGTTTTGATAGGGCATAGGTCGTCCCCAGTTGGGTTTATTACCAATGAGACCCTGTTTGCCGATTTGTGGTTCTTGGTTCTGGCAAGTTGTATTGTTGCAAATGTTGCAGAGCCAATCTTTTCGAACCTTAGCGCTTTTAGAGTGGGTACTTTGTTTTCATCTGTTTTGCTACTTGGAATCAGCTCACCAATACGTGTTAATCCATAAAATGTTGTTGTTACCACAGCCCAAAATAACAAGCCATCTGCTTCCTTTAGGTTTAGGTTCTTCTTTATATGTCTAAGATAGGTTCTTGTAATATGCATTTTTTGATTTACTGGTTTGTGATGGTGGTTTGCTTTGATAGTTTTAAGCATTTGTCTTATTAGTGGGTCTTTTCTTACTGGTGTCCAATCATGAGAATTCATTACATGATGGTTTTTCAATGCTGATAGGTATGACTTGATCGTGGTTGGAGATATATTTTTATGTATTGTTATAATGAATTTTACTAGCGACTCCCTTGAAATAGGCCATATACTTCCATTTTCATTTTCCCATTTGTGTTTTATAGCTAGCATTTGGTATCTTTTTGTTACTGCTTCATAGGTTTTATGTTTTGGAAAGTCCATTTCTAAAATATTTGCTGCCTCTTTGTTTAGTGGAACTTTGTTATGCCATTCCGATGTTGTGATTAGTTGGTTTTTATGTAAGATATTAGTAGTTAATTTCTTTGTTATTTTAGGTCTTTTCTGTTTTGTGTTCTTCAGTTCTATTGCATTAAGGATGGAATGATAGAAATTGTGTTAGTATATTCTGTTGGAATATTGGGTTGGAGATATCGTGCCAAGGGTTTCCTAATTAAAAATTCTCTATGTCCGCCTCTAGATAAAAGGTTTGCATCACCATTTAGTTTGCCTGATATATGCTCCAATTTAATTGAGAAGTTCTTTTGTATCTGAATTTCATAAATAAGAGCGATGATTTTGTTTATTCTTTCATTTTTGCAGAAACCAGCATAGAATGCCTCTGCATTTGCTAGATTGTAGTCCATACTATCAATTTTTTTCGAGTCCAAAGGGGGGCAAATGTAAGGATTGCTATTAGGGTCGTGATCAGCTCTCGTTCTTGAATATCATGATGAGTTGTAGTCATATTGTTGGACCAGGTAAATGCAGTGAAGTAGTTCGCAAATGTTGCTCCTCCTCCAATATTTGATGCATCTGAATACAGATTATTCACATTCAGCTGTTGCCACATTTGATCTTCCATTAGGTAGGTTCCAGGCCAGCACTTTATTATTTTGTACCATCAGCGAATGTCAGCTAACATTGGGCTGGTCAATCTAATGTGATGCTTTGGGTTTTTAGACAATTCTTGAGCCTTTATAAGTTACTGTATAAATGGTCTTCCTTGAGGCACCACTTGGCACAGCCACATTAAAGATCCTACTAATGATTGGAGATCTCTTTTATAACACCATTTCTTGGATGACCATTCTGCTAATAATTCTCTTATTTTTTGTTTCTTTTGTCATGGAATAGAGACTGTCATTGTTACTGTATTAATCAGTATACCTAAAAATGTTATTTCTGTACTGGGTCCTTCTAGTTTTGATTCTTTGAATGGTACCTTTATTAACTCTAATATTCACAAGAATTGCAGTAGTTCTTTCTGACCATCTGATTTGGATATTATTAAAAAATCATCGACGTAGTGGATAATTGATTTGATGCCTTGTTGTGTAGCTATTCATGTAATTGTATTTGCGAACCTGCAGAAAATACCACCTGAAGCTCTGTTACCAAAGGCTAATGCCTTGTCAAAGTAAAACTTCTTATCATAATTCATGCCTTGCAGCACTTGGTCTACTGGGTGCACAGGTAATATTCGGTATGCATCTTGTATGTTAATCTTTGACATTGTGCAACCTTTACCATACCAATTTATCCATCTTATCGCATACGTTACATTCTCATATTTTGTTGCAAATTCTATAACATTAATTCCATTATTTACACTATATCCAAAGGGAGCAGACAAGTGTGATATAACTCTGAAGGTTTTTGGGTTTGTATTCTTTTTTTCTACTAGACCATATGGATTGATTTGATAGATATCACATGGTGGTTGTTCTTCAGAAAATGGTTCACATATATGATTCTTGCCTATTTTGTCTTGAATGTATTTTCCTAATGCTAATGGGTCTAGATAAATTGATTTTAAATTCTTTTGAATTCTTTTTACTCTCATACCAGAAAAATTGAATCTGAATCCATTTGTAATGCCATTTATTAGATAAGTTATAAATGGTCTATTAGGATGATTATTTGTTAACATCTTGAAAACATGAACATCTATATTTGTATTTGTGTTAAATATTGATACAGGGTACAAGATCGGGAATGGCACTATAGGGACAAGAAGGAATGCGACGAATTGTCGCTTCGAATTCGTCGATGTCATGTAATGTCGCTCAAGGCAGGTGAGGCAGATTCGATTTGATACTGGTCTATGGTGGCCTTGAGAACGTTACCAGGGGAGTTTAAAGGAGTGTATTTTTATTTATTTATTTACTTTATTTTTTACAGTTAGCAGTTTATTAATAAAAACTTTATTTATTTTATAGGGCGGTTTACAAGTTACAAGGTGATTCGGGTTTGTAGAGGTGGAAAGGTACTATATCTCCTATATCTATAGGGTGGGAGGCACACTTTTTATAAAACATTTTAGGGAAGAAAAATGGGAACTTGGGACACGGCTTTGACACCCTTTTTCTCATAGTCATAGACCGTTTTTCCCTTTTTTACTAACACTCTTCCCTTTTTCTTACAATTCATCTGTCATTACTTTAGCATCATCCCATAATGGCATACAATCCAACATATAACGACGCATTGACATGGCCACAGACTTTTCCTGTCAAGGTAATATTACCTTGACAGTTGGATTCCAAATCGGGCAGGTGGCTTTTTCTTCAATGGATCGGCGCTGTCACTTAATGAGGAGCTTGATTTGTCTTGGGTTGCAGGTATCGTAGTATGACAGTTTTCGTGGTGCAGATCATGGTCATTACGCAACATTTCCTCCAGGTCCTAGAATCGAATCTACCCATAACAATATCTTAGGGTTTAGTTGTGAGAGTATTTTTGTTTCTTCAGCTGATAAGGGTATTTCTCGTGGTGGAATACTACTTAGTGTTTCGATGACTGATTGGAGGATTGGAGGCTCACTAGTTGTTATATATCTTGAAAGTTTAAATTGAGCTTCATGTCGAAAATTCTTTTTGTTCCTATTGTTGTCTGCATAGTTGCATCGTTAGTTACAATTGTTTTATTTTATTGTTTTTTTTTTTTTTTTTTTTTTGTGTTGTGGTTATTAAAATTTCTTCACTTTTTTTTTTTTTTTTTTTCATATTGCAGTCATTAAAAATTTTTTTTTTTTTTAATTATTGGCTTGGCTAGCCTGGTTGGTTTGGTTGTTTTGTTTGGTGGTTGCTGGATTACTAGAAAAGCATCTTCGTTCTGTGTGACCTATTTTCTTGCAGAACAAACATGCATGAACCCGGCCACATTTCTTGTCATCATTGCAGTATCTTCGGTTCCAGTTAATGCAGATCTCTCTGTCGTCATACCATAGTATCTCTGTTTTATTTGCTCGTGGCTTGTTGAACCTTGGCCTTTTTGTTGCTGAGATATCAAAGTTATCTCCTTCTGCTATGACATTCCGCTCCAATAATGTTGACTCACGATTCATTGTTAGTTCCAGTCGACGGTCTTCATCATATGACATTACTGCTGAAAATTCATATTTTGTACACAAGGTACTAATGTGATCTCGGTAAAAATTCAACTCTTGTTCTCTGATATCGTAGAGAATTAATATTGCTTCCATATATGATCTGAATGCTAATAGCTACTCTGATATATCATTAAACCTGTTGTATATATTGCATTTCCGAATGGATATGTAACCTCCTTCTGATATCTGTAGAGGTGAGTCGTCATGTAGGTATTTCATATTGGCCTTTATGTTTTTGTGTGCAAATTCTTGCAACTCTGCATAGGTACCGAATGCGATGGTCTTCCACAATTTAGATGTCAAGCTTGGTTTATATGCCAACATCTCAATTGTTTTCTGTCCCTCATTCCAGTTAAGCACCCACCAAAGCCTTCTACTCTCAATTTCAGCTGCCAATGGATTGTTAAACCCTTGAACTATAGGTAGGTTTTTAAGTAATTTGTATTCAATTGTTGGAAACCTACGACTACCTTTCTTGACTATTAATTGTTTGTTTGTTTGATCTTGGTTTTCACTTTTTTGCATATTGTCTTTACTCACTACTACATCTGATGGTTTTATGTTTGCAATTATTTCATTGAGAATTGGGGTGGGTGGATAGTTACCTTGGGTTATGAGTTCTCTAGTGTCTGTTGAGTCTATGGTTAACGGAGAGGTGTGATCTTCTTCTGGTAGTTGGTTATTGTCAGGCTGTTTCTCTGTGTCGGTTAAATTGACCTGCTCAAGCTGACTGAAATGACTTTCGATTGTGCTTTTAAGTTGTTCATTCTATTGTTGCTGCTCTTCCTTTTGTCGATCTATCAGTTCTTTCATTCTATTGAAAAATGTTGATATGGCTCTTTGGCACGCATCATCAATGTACTCTTTTGTTTGTGGGTCAATGTTTGGTGCTTCGTTAGGTTCGTTCATTTCGCTAAAAGGATTATCCTTTTCGGATGCAAGTGTAGCCTGTCTAGTTCCCACTGTCCTTGGCTCTTATACCTACCTGCTACATAGAATACCACTCACGTCGATTCACATGGTATTGGCATGTGTAATCCATGATCGCATCAAAGCTTCCCACGCTGTTATTTCATTCACATGCGCATGCATCATGGGGTCGGAGGTGAGGCGCTATGTTGTCCTTCTCTTTTCGATCACGTGATATACTATCACTTCGCATTAAAATTGATTACTTTGCCAAAATCGATTTTAATTACAAAATCGATTATCATAACCGATTAATCGATTTTTAGTTACAAAATCGATTATTAAAATCGATTTTAAAATATCCGATTTTCGATAATCGATTCCCATCCCTATTTGACCAGTCGTTATTTCAGCCATGATGACGCCGAAACCATAGATATCTGCTTATTGAGTAAACTGTCCTTCACCTGACAAAACCTCCGGAGCAACATAAGGCATGACACCATAAATATCACCTTTCGAACTGGTTTCGTCTACTTTCTTAGATAATCCTAGATCTGAAACATAAGAAGTACCTTTATGATGAAGAATGTTACCACTATGAAAGTCAGCATGAATATACCCCGCACCATGAATTTGAGCTAGATCAAGAGATATACTTTTAATTTAAATTCCCATGTAAGTTTATTAAAATTTGATCGTAAAAACTTATGAATATTTCCATCATCGGCATACTGAAATACCATGAAGTATTCATTAGTTTTTGAGTTACAAGATAAACCATATATTTGAAGTTCACTACCAAATAATATGCATTGCATATGATTTTTAAACTTAAGAGATTATATAAAATCGTTAGTTAAATAAGCAATTATTACAACCTAGCCTTGTAGAATACAACTTTAACCTACCTCGCTTAAAAAATCAAGAGAATTTTGAGTATTATTTGTCTTTGGACTAGAGAGGGTCTTGAGCGCAACGATGCTGGACGGTTCACGTCCTCTTACATAATTAAAATCATTACCATAAATTTTTCGTATACCGTCCAACCAGGTTGCTCTATATATAGATCCAAATCCTCCTTTGCCGATTTCATTAATATCAGTTAAACTTTCAAATGGAATCCACTCAATCACTTCTTCATATAAAAGGGCTCTAAGTTGAAATGGTTTCATGCAATCATCAATGTTCTTAATTCTACTTGTCCACTGTGTTGCTATGTCGGGATCACATAACAGGCACCATGCTCTATTCATATTATCTTCATTACAATGTATACATTTTCCATATATAGATGAGCTTTATAATTATTAAATATCAAATTTATTATTTTATTTATATCTGTCATGCGATTTTAAATATCGAATGTAAATAATTTTCATACACACCGACTAAATCAATGCAAATGAAATGGTTTGAAGGGTATTACGTAATGGTATAAGTAATATGTTCTTGATTTGTGAACTTGTTTTTAATTCCAATGATTAATAAATGTTCTTTATACTCACTCACTGAATGAATGATTAATGCGAATGAAATGATTTGAAGGATATTACGTAATGGTAAATAAGTAATATGTTCTTGATTTGTAAACTTGTTTTTAATTCAAATGATTAATAAATGTTCTTTATACTCACCCACTAAGTTAATATGAATGAATGATTAATGCGAATGAAATGATTTGAAGTGTATTACGTAATGGTAAATAAGTGATATGTTCTTGATTTGTGAACTTATTTTTAATTCCAATGATTAATAAATGTTCTTTATACTCACTTACTGAATGAATGATTAATGCGAATGAAATGATTTGAAGGGTATTATGTAATGGTAAATAGTAATATGTTCTTGATTTGTGAACTTGTTTTTAATTCCAATCATTAATAAATGTTCTTTATACTCACTTACTGAACGAATGATTAATGAGAATGAAATGATTTGAAGGGTATTACGTAATTGTAAATAAGTAATATGTTCTTAATCTGTGAACTTGTTTTAACCTCAATGTTCTTTATACTCACTAACTAAATAAAATGATTTGAAGGGCATTACATAATGGTAAATAAGTAATATGTTCTTGATTTGTGAACTTGGTTTTAATTCCAATGATTGATAAATGTTCTTTATACTTACATGCTGAATGAATGATTAATGCGAATGAAATGATTTGAAGGGTATTACGTAATGGTAAATAAATAATATGTTCTTGATTTGTGAACTTGCTTTAATTCCAATAATTAATAAATGTCCTTTATACTCACAGACTAAATTAATGAGAATGAAATAATTTGAAGGGTATTACGTAATGGTTAACAAGTAATATGTTCTTTATTTGTGAGCTTGTTTTTAATTCCAATGGTTAATAAATGTTTTTTATACTCACCGACTAAATAATGCGAATGAAATGATTTGAAGGGTATTACGTAATGGTAAATAAGTAATATGTTCTTGATTTGTGAACTTCCAATGATTAATAAATGTTCTTTATACTCACAAACTAAATTAATGCAAATGAAATGATTTGAAGGGTATTACATAATGGTAAATAAGTAATATGTTCTTGATTTGTGAACTTGTTTTTAATTCCATTCATTAATAAATGCTCTTTATACTCACTTACTGAACAAATGATTAATGCCTGATTTGTGAACTTGTTTTTAATTTCAATGATTAATAAATGTTCTTTATACTCACTCACTAAATGAATGATTAATGCGAATGAAATGATTTGAAGGGTATTACGTAATGGTAAATAAGCAATATATTCTTGATTTGTGAACTTGTTTTTAATTCCTATGATGAATAAATGTACTTTATACTCACATACTAAATTAATGCAAATGAAATGATTTGGAGGGTATTATGTAGTGGTAAATAAGTAATATGTTCTTTATTTGTGAACTTGTTTTTAATTCCAATGATTAATAAATGTTCTTTATACTCACTCACTGAATGAATGATTAATGCAGATGAAATGATTTGAAGGGTATTATGTAATGGTAAATAAGTAATATATTCTTGGTTTGTGAACTTCCAATGATTAATAAATGTTCTCTATACTCACCGACTAAATTAATGCAAATGAAATGATTTGAATGGTATTACGTAATGGTAAATAAGTAATATGTTCTTGATTGTGAACTTATTTTTAACTCCAATGGTTAATAAATGTTCTTTATACTCACAAACTAAATTAATGCGAATAAAGTGATTTGAAGGTTATTACGTAATGGTAAATAAGTAGTATGTTCTTGATTTGTGAACTTGTTTTTAACTATAATGATTAATAAATGTTCTTTATACTCACTTACTGAATGAATGATTAATGCGAATGAAATGATTTGAAGGGTATTACGTAATGGTAATAAGTGATATGTTCTTGATTTGTGAACTTCCAATGATTAATAAATGTTCTTTATACTCACAGACTAAGTTCGTGTGAATGAGTGAATGATTAATGCGAATGAAATGATTTGAAGTATTACGTAATGGTAAATAAGTAATATATTCTTGATTTGTGAACTTGTTTAATTTCCAATGATTAGTAAATGTTCACTCACGGACTAAATTATTGCGAATAAAATGATTTGAAGGGTATTATGAAATGGTTCTTAATTTGTGAACTTGTTTTCAATTCCAATGATTAATCAATGTTCTTTATACTCACCGACTAAATTAATGCGAATGAAATGATTTGGAGGGTATTGTTTAGTGGTAAATAAGTAATATGTTCTTTATTTGTGAACTTGGTTTTAATTCTAATGATTAATAAATGTTCTTTATACTCACATACTGAATGAATGATTAATGCGAATGAAATTATTTGAAGGGTATTACGAAATGGTAAATAAGTAATATGTTCTTTATCTGTGAACTTGTTTTTAATTCCTATGATTAATAAATGTTCTTTATACTCACGAGCTGAATGAATTATTAATGCAATGAAATGATTTAAAGGGTATTGCGTAATAGTAAAAATAAGTAATGTTTTTATTTGTGAACTTGTTTTAATTCCAATGATTAATAAATGTTCTTATTCTTACACACTAAATGAATGATTAATGCGAATGAAATGATTTGAAAGTATTACGTAATGGTAAATAAGTAATATGTTCTTGATTTGTGAACTTCCAATGATTAATAAATATTCTTTATACTCACTAACTAATTAACGCGAATAAAAGGGTATCACGTAATGGTAAATAAGTAATATATTCTTGATTTGTGAACTTGTTTTTGATTCCGATGATTAATAAATGTTCTTTATGCTCACCGACTAAATCAATGCAAATGAAATGAATTGAAGCGTATTACTTAATGGTAAATAAGTAATATGTCTTGATTGGTGAATTTGGTTTTAATTCTCATGTACTTTATACTCACCCACTAAGTTCATGTTAATGAGTGAATGATTAATGTGAATAAAATGATTTGGAAGGTATTACGTAATGGTAAATAAGTAATATGTTCTTTATTTGTGAACTTGCTTTCAATTCCAATGATTAATAAAAATGTTCTTTATACTCACAGGCTAAATTAATGCGAATGAAATAATTTGAAGGGTGTTAAATTAGTAATATGTTCTTGATTGGTGAACTTGTTTTTAATTCCAATTATTAATAAATGTTCTTTATACTCACGGGCTAAATTAGCACAAATAATTAATATTTATGAACTTAATTAGCTAATATGTATATTAATAGATATTTTATACTTGCTCTCTGATAATTAAAATTGGATAATTAAAAATGTATAAGATATTCCCAATTTTTAAAATAATAAAGTTAAAGAATTAGCTTACTTATAAATCCATTCCCGAAATTTATCATCATTTTTTTTGACGCCAACCCCGAATTTGTAACAAATAGCAGTTTTATAGATTCCATTAAGATTATTCATTTCGGCAGACTTTTGATAATACTCGAATGCTTTGTGTTTATCTCTTTCAACTCCGATTCCTAAATTATAACAATATCCAACCTGATACATTCCGTTAGAATTATTCAGATTTGCAGACTTTTGAAAATAACTGAATGCTTTGTTTTCATCTTTTTCAACGCTAATTCCATATTCGTAACAATAACCAAGATAATTAATTCCTTCAGTATGCCCCATATTAGCAGAGTTTTCGAAATAAGTGAACGCTTTATATTCATCTTTTTCAACGTTAATTCCGTGAAGAT